AGGTCTTGGCTATCATCTTTATCATGAAAAGCATATTATGTTGTACACAAACCAATGTCATGAATGAGAATTGAAGTATATTTAATTTTGAAAAAAGTAGCCAGTGAAAATAAAACATACAGGTCTTACAATACAAAATGTGCTACAGTGTTTATACATGAGGGATCTGACATGAACAATACATATTGGGAAATAAAATGAGAAGCGCTGTAACCACAGTTTTTTTTTTCTCTCCTTCAACATGATTTTACAGGCGAATCAACATTACATTTGCAACACGTGTTTTCATTTAGCCAAGTTAAATAGAATTGTCGTTCTGTGCAACTCTGTTTTGGATGGAAATTAGTAGACAGTACAAGCAGTGCTAATTTCTATAAATTGAAAAAAACTTTTGGGTTTGGAAGAGCCACACAAGATATCTAGATCGATAAATGTTGCTGAATACTCTGAATGAAATGCAGTGATCTGTGGTAAATTGGCGAGGAAGATTGGTTCTCTACAGAAAGTGTTTCAAGTTATATGCAGTATGAATATATTGCAAACATTGATCAAGTTTGTGTCTAGGAATAGTAATATATGCAGTGGTAACCCCGTTGCCCTCTTCATTGACCTTTTATGTGGAAAAAGTGGAGAGACGGTTTATGGGGTTTCTTTGAAAGGTGAAGCAGACGTGTCTGCATATATTGAAGATAATTATGGTGAGAAGTATATGAATGGTATTGACTATACAAGACAATTCGAAGTAGTTCCTGTGACATGAACATTGATATGAATTGATGTGCACACTGTATGGTTTATCGAAAAAATCTCAGAGCAAAATGGCGCAAGAATATGCGCCAAAATATCAGAAACAACTCCTATCAGTTCAACATTTGACCACAAGAAAGTACGAAAATTACAGAAAAATGGATTTCAATTTAAAAAAAAAACTTGATAGAGCTGTTAAAAATTTGCTTACAGAAGGTTTGGATTTTGATAAATTCCTTGAAACTGATTTGAAATCAATCATGGAAGAAAATTCAAAAGATGTTGTCGATTTTGCAACGACTGTTTGGGGGGGAAGCTAAAGCAATCAAGCAATATGTGGTAATGCCAAACAAATGCGTTAAATTTTCACTAAATTTAACATCTTCATCAGCTTATAAAACACGGTGTACTTCCAGTTGTGTGAAACTTCTGATTACACTAATTATATAAGACCACAACCTGGAATTAAAGGTACTGGAGGAAATTGTTTCTGAAAACCAAGTACATTATCTCCAGGAGCAATAGACATGTGTGGTAGTACTTCACGATCAATTTAAAATTGAAGCAGTTGATTGGTTTTGTGAATTAATATAGCATTAATGAAGATGTCAAAATCTCAAAATCTGGCAACTCATGTACGTGTCTTCATGATCGGAGTTCTAGAAACAAGTTCACCTACACATGTGGCATAGTACCCAACACTGGAGACAACTTGTTTCCTCCTTTATGGTAAGTAATCTGGTTTCTAGAACTGATTTGGGGACTGAAAGTGACAGCTTCAACAAGTGTTGGAGTTACATGGAATAGAAATAGTACAAAATGCACAGAGTCATTGGAGAATCTCAGGGGAGAATCTAGTCTACAAAAGGACCAACCCTATTTAGCCCGCAAAATAGAAAGATCTGTTTTTTTTCTGATTTACGAGAAATTGCTTTGCAAATTGAGAAGCACATAGGAAATCAAAAAGTGTATGAGTATGTGATACAAGTCAATATATAACTTGCTCATTATTCGTGCTATCAGTGAATATTTACAAATGGTATAAACTTGTCTGCGCATGTTTCAAGTTATTTTTTTTCGCAAAACAAGGTTTTACATGAAGCAGGTTTCTACATTACTGACGCATACATTTAGATGTTGGACCCCAAAAACTTTAAACTTCTATTCCACAGGAAGTAAAAACAATCAATAATTATTAAATGTTAACATATTTGTTGTTGAGGGACTGACTTCAGCAGAAACAATTGGTCAATTTGGTCAGGGGACTCTTAAATTTACATCTCTCACAGTTGGTTATCCATTTGGTCCACAAAATTGGTTATGATCACATTCAATTAACAACATTCTCAAATATGCGAGTCAAACTGGCAGCTCAGGAAATTACATGCAGTGTCGTTTGATATACCTACGCACTCCTAATCCCCTGTATTTATTTGTTTGTTTGTTATTTTCAATTTCTCGGTTGAACGGTTGCTAATGCAATTGAAATGGTTGGGACTGCTGGAGCCTTTGACATTGTTGAATTTATTAGATATACAGACAGCCTTTTTTCGATTGCTTGAATGTCAGACGTTTTGACGAACTACCGGGAAAATAAATCAATGTGGCACCCTATGCAGACTAGACTAATGCTAATTTGAGGTAGGAGCATATTCAATTATTTTTGTAAATAAGCAGGTAGAAACCTTGACAAACTAGCTTGTGATATTTTACAATGCTTGTGTTTACCAACTCCATCTAAATGTTTAATTTGGTGACGGGTATTTTGGGTTATTTCATTTTATGTATTGGCTTCAGAAGGATTTCCTGGTTTACTTTGCAGAGTGGGGCATTCTGCTTTGGATCGAAATAGAAATTGTTCAACATCTAGACAAAATGCAATGTGGAAAAACAAAACTCGTGGAAGGACTGAAAATGGCGGGTATGAGAATAAGGCGGCATATTTGCATAGATTTCTTTGGTTAAAATTGCATGATTACTATTTCAGGATTTGCACTACTGTCTTATACTATTTACTCGAGTTAATGCCGTATATATTTTTTATCAAAGATAGTGCCATATCTTCCCTAAATACATGGGTTTCTTTTAAATCACTGGGAAAAAAATGGTGTTAATGCAATCCCTGAGTAATTGCAAACCACAATCGTCCAGATCAATGGAAGTCTTCATTATTACATTATAACAGATTACACAAAACACTTTATTTTTTCAAAATGAAATTATTTTGTCCATGTTTATTTCATTTATGCACGAAATGTGTGATAATGTAGTATTGTGATGATAATACAGCAGGAAGACGTATGCATATCTCTCGATAATACGTTACCAGCGTTATTGATAACTTGATTTATACTTTTTGTTCACAATCCTTAAAATGACCTTTCCATGCCGTGTTTTTAATAGTGCAATCATTTGTAGAAGCTTCAAAGTATGTACTTAGCCAAGGAGTGGATTTTGTACTGAGTGAACGATGTTGCCAGGATCCTCCTGAAGCTCACTTTAGTAAACTGATCAGTGCATGGCAGGAAAAAACTTTGTAGTACAATTCATATTTTCTTTGTTGATAATGTAGCCAGCACATGATCCAAACACAAAATGATCTTTGCCCTACTAACTGCAATGTGATCCTTTGTGTCAGCATAATATTTTACATTTATTAGAACATTGTAATCAAATCTTGCAAAATTGTATTTAACCTGTACCTCAACGCAACACATTTTACAGATACTTCACAAAAGATTGCCATCATGTGCAATCCTGTGTTAGACATAAATGAACTATTGCAACTATGGTTATTTGTTTGATACTGATGAAATCTAACACACTGCAA